TAACTATGTACAAACATAGACACACATATGTCAGACATAGGGAGACAGATGATTAATGCACACATGCAGCTCCCTGTCCTAGACTGACTTTTGGTTATTTTCCAGCCAGCATGGGATTAGGAGGAATACATCAGAAGTTGTGATGAAAACTGGTTTCAGTCTTGGCCAATAAAATTATTTTTGAAAGCAACACACTCCACAGCATCCTGAAAACTTCTTGATGAAAAATATGTGCATGGAGTGGATCTGCCACACAAGGCTTATCCCAGGATGAAACTGATGTTGCATGGGACGTACATTAAAGCCCTTCATTTAAATTATAGTGTAGGAGGATTAACACACTTGGCTAACGTGTTGCTCTGGTCTGACGCTCATGACAGTAATTGACAGCATAGCCACAATTCTATGGTTAAAGCCTCTGTATTCTGCTTGTCAGATCATCTGAAACCTCATTTCCAACTTTACAAAACATGCAATACAACATGCCCACTTTGGTGGAAACTACCCCTGTCACCTTTCGTGTGTACAATCAAGTGCAACACTGTGAATGCCTTCGAGGGGGAGTCTGTCTTAAAGTGTGCTCTATCATCCCCACTCATTTGATTCATTGTGTCAAGACTAAAGACAGAACATTTGGATAGAGATCCAGGAGGGAATGTGATGCAGCCAGGAGGAAGCTTCAGTATGATAGCAGGCTTTTTGCCCTACCCTTGAATGTGGCCATTCAGAACAGGTATAAATTCTTTAGCCTTCAGACGTGGTCGGATGATTCATTGTATTGAACTATATTTTGTTTGAAGCATATCCTTTTACTTAGAAATCATTCACTAGATTTTGGATCAATGTTTGACACACTCCCAAAGAAGTTGTGTTTTTGAGGCAGAGGTTTTGTAGAAGGTAGAAGGGATGAGACAGTTCAGTTCAATCCGGACAGATTTCATTTTTTAACAAATATATTTCATTGATATGTGCAGAAGATCTTCCTGACTGAACTTAAGCTGAGCTTCATATATTTACATGAAGCTTGGTTGTCCAGTTAAAATGTCAGAAGCCCTCCTGAGGACAGATTACTGAAGAAGGGTAATACTATGTTGGGTGTATATATACCTGAGTTATATTTTAATATTGTATGTGCGGGTGCATTTTGTATGCCAGTGTGTGCTCTTCTTCAACTTGTGCTTCCCACATAAACACTCACACATATTTTCTGAGACTCTTTGACGGAGAGCCAGACAGTCAGATGAATCTCCACAGGGTCAATCGCCCCATCAGCCTTTTGTTGTTGAGATGAATGATCAGCAGGGTTCAAAATGACCTGTTGTGATCAGGCAGTGTAGCATTAACTCAATGCAAGTCTAATGAGCCCTGACAGCAGATGTGAAGCCAGTTAGCTTCACGATGCTGGAATTTTATTCAAAGCTGTCTGCAGAAACATATCAACAATACTTAACAAAACAGATGTGATGAGTGATTCCTTTGACCGTTGTAACGCTGATACCTTCAGAAAAACCAACACAAACACACACACACACACACACACACACATTGACTGAGGTTCTGTAGCATTTATGATATTCTTACCTCTTTCCTTCAGCTATATATTGGAAGCTCATGAAGGCTTGCTAAAATTGCTATGTTTTGAGAAAAACATTCCCCTAACAGACTGCTTTCTAGCTCAGATCTGTAATAATACATGAATGGATCACTACAATGAGCAGCCCTGTGTGAGATCCACACCACGCTCTAATTCAAGTAGTGATCCCTTGTTTAACAGACCGTTTTATCCTGAGCTGTGTGTGGCATAAACAGGAGACCCCCAACAGTATTTGAACCCTGCATGTAGTGAGGATCCGAAGTTAATTGTCAGAGACAGTGTTGCTTTTTTAAATGACTAACTGGTATATTACTTGCAAAAAGAATACCGAAATTATGCTGCATTTAGATTGTCAGCCATTTTATAAAAATGTATGTTTATGTACATGGAAAAACAGGTTTTAGGGCAAGAAAAACACCATTTAAAAGACATTCAAAACTAAGGCAAAGAACAACTAAAATTTCAAATTGTCATAGTTGTTAGAAAAACTCACTCACTTACACTGTTAGGACACTGCAGGACACTATACAAAAATGAAGAACTGGTATGTCTGTAAGGTTGAGCAGAAAGATGTATATAAAGCAATAGCTTGACCTTTTGGAAATGAGCTCATTAATTAAGTGACAAGAGTTAACACGATAACAGTAGATAACAATAATCCATACTGCTGTCTTATATGTCTATGCTTAGCTTAGCATAAAGACTGGAAACACAGGAAACAGCTAGAACCTCTAAAACTGACTAATTAACATGCTATATCTCAGTTGTTTAATTTGTACAGAAATGTTAGTGTTAAAAACAACAATTTGCATGGGTTATCTACCAGGCTATTCTTCTTGGCTGGAAGCAATCACTTCCTGGAGTCTCCACCAGTTGTAACCACATGGTGATGTCTACACAATGTAGAAATTGACAATTTTGCACCTTTTGGAGTACAAATTCAACTAATTGCTGAGCCTTTGTAGCTGGTAGTTGGATTGTATTATCTTTGAACAGAACCCTACTAGCTGTTTTCTCCTGTTTCCAGTCTTTATGCTAAACTAAGCTGACATGCAGCTGGTTGTAGCTTCATAGTGAACGGACAGATATGAGAGTGCTATTGATCTTGTCATCTAAAACACAGCAAGAAAGTGACATGTTTCCCCAAATGTTAAACCATCCCTTCAATGGATTCAGCACATTAAAATGTCTGCCTCTTTAAAACGTTATCAGCAGAAAGGAAAGTAATTGTATGTCAGCTTTGTTTAGCAGCTCCATTCCCCTTAATAAAATTGAACAGAGTGCATATTGCCAGTAGACTGTATAAACAATACAAATTTGATTCATGTCATTGCATCCTGCACATCTTCTAGCCATTGTCCAGTTTTATAGCTTCAAGGCTCAACCAGCTGCAGCAGTGGCAAACTTCGACTGGACACAACCCTCGGCATTGTATTACATGTCACACTGCATTAAAGCACTGACAACGTGTCCGAGTGTCAGCTTCAGTTGTTGCCACTTCAGAGATTGGGATGGATGTTACAGTGTGGGATTATAGGCTGGTAATGTCCTGCGGATGCTTTAAACTTTATAGCATGCTGTAAAAAAAAAAAAAAAAAAAGAAAGAAAGAAATTACTAGTAAAGCCTGTAAATGTAGCTTAGATTTATACGCAACTTTTCTCTGACTGTGGATTCTTAAAAAGCCTTGTTGGGGGAGTGGAGGACGGGTGATGACAGAGGGGGAGGGGAAAAAATGGGGAGAGAAAAAGAGTGGCAAAGAGTCAAACAGGAAGTGTAACAGAGGGACATATCAGATAAAACAGACAGTGGAGAATTGCAGTTAATTTGTTTCTTTGATGAGAGCAGGACACCCAGAATCTGATTTGAAATATTAGACACTTTTGAATCTGATATCTCCTCTATCTCTGCCCTCACAATAAAGATCCTCTCTTGTCTCTGTCTGCATCCATTTATCTCTCAATCTGTCTCCTTGTCTATTCAAGTATTTTTTCCCAAATTCATCATCCCCTTTCCCTCACATCCCACACAGATAGCTGTCTCTTACCCACCCGTTTTTTGTGTCTCTGATGTACTGCTTCCATTCCTTTGCCTGATCCTCCTAGCCTCACTTTTATGTCCCCTTTTATTTTCAGTTTCTCCAGTCTTCTGTCTTCCTCAGTCCTCTCCTCTCATTCCTCTTATCTCACTTTCATTCTTTTGTCCCCCTGTGTACCATTTCCTTTGGCCTCTGTCCCTTTCTCCCCTTCTTTTCCTCCCTCGCTCCCACTTTCCTCCTCCCTCCTTCCCCTCTTTCCTGCTTGCTGCCTTTCACTCCCTTTTTTTCCTTCTCTGAAATGTATTACTGTCATCTAGTGTTTAAAAAATGAACCACAGCAACACTGCCTTATGGAACAGACAAGCCCATTCCTTCTCTCCCTCGATCAACAGTAACAGTAAGAGTTCCTACATACATGTAGCAGTAGAGAGCTGTGTAACTGAATAATGTGCAAACTCTACTGCAGAAATGATGTATTGTTGTTATAACCTTTATTTCTCATGTTGTAACTGGTCCGTCTTTACAGGGTTTTACATAATTGCTAATAACATTAAACAGGAAGCATCCAGTAGGTACATACATACCATACATAAATGACTGATTTCTTCCTGGTAGAGAAAGGCTCTTTTAGGCAAACAGGTTTCACATTTACAAAAAAACAAAGGTGTGAGGTTTGAGCTCTTCAGCAGAACTATAACACACTGGCTCATATACAGATATTTCTAGCATTTAGAAATAAAACAATTTGATGGAAACCTGTAAAATCACTTTTTAGAGTTATCTGTATATAATTGTCAAACTTTGTTTAACACATTCCATTTTAATAGACAGATGGATTCAAATGAAAAATACCAGCTACTGTCAGTAATATGCCTAACCCACAATACATAAAGTTAACTTTGAGAAATGACCTGAGTGTGTCCTAGATCAACAGGTACAAAGGTTAAGAGCACATAATTCTCATCCTGCTGAATATAAGTGACATTCACATTTGTGAAATTCCTGCTTTTCCTGCCATGAGATAGCAGACAGCAGACTTATTCAAACTGCAGTGATATCTCCTCTGAATATGATGCCTGTAGGCAAAACTTCAGTGATAAACACAGGATTTTACAATTCAAAAGTTATTTATCAGCTGCACGGGATATGCACACCTGTTTTTGTCCAAAAATTGAACATGATGTGCCTACCAACATGATGCATTTCCCAGCCAAAGCTCTGAATCATTCCAGTTTGTTATCTGCCTCGGGCGTCTCATGATGACGTTGATGGGAAATGTATCTGTACATTGAGTGCTGGGCTGCTGGCCAATCCTACTGCAAGGTACTGTACATTTTGCGTCACACCACCTCCGTTTTGGATAAAGGGCATTTCACAACACCTTGAATACCAACATCTAGCTGAGTAGAAATAACATGAAGAGAAGCTCTAAGACCAGAAAGTTCTAGATGAAAGGTTTCAGGTTTTGACAAATTGTTCCTCACAGACAAGGCAGGACTTGTTTGAATGATACATTTTTCTTTTCTTTGACTTAAAGTCATTTGACTGAGATAGTGCTTCTCTCATTGAACTCTGAAAACAAGAAACAGGTAATTGAAATGCAAAGATTATTCTAAAATGTTAATGCTTTTATAGTCTGAACAACAGTGATTACAGTTATCTTCAATGAATGCACATACAAATACAAGGTGTTGTGTCTCCATACGCCTACTCCACAGGCTGCCTTAGCAACAGTCTGCTGAAATGGCTTTCTCTGAGTTATAAGACAGATCTCATTGTGTGAACAGCAGGCCCAGCTGTCTTACTGTCAGGTATGTGAAGGTTAATGCTACTTTATTTGCATTGCTATTCATTTAAGATGAGCGATTATTGCTTGCATTAGCCCAAGTTTCAGCCCACTACTCTGCAGTAGTCGATGATTATCTGGAGGGACTTGGAAAACTGCAATTACAAAAAAACAAATATGAGAGAGTTTCAGCTTCAGTGGCTTTAGAAAAATCAGGACCACACATGAGGATATAGTTATATAGGAATATAGTTGTTGCTAATGAAATGAAATTACTAGAAATCAGTGCAGGATGAAAGAAGTGACTCTGTTAATCTGACTCGGGCAGGAAGATTATTCCACCACAGGATTTGGAGACCGGGGGTGGTGATGACCAGCCTGGTGCAAGGACATTGGAGCCAAGCAGCCAGTCGTGACAGAATGCGGGAGCATGGACTTGTGTGTCTACCCATGGCCTGGAGGTATGGAGCTGCAGATCCCTTCACAACCATGTGTGCCAAACCCAGGGGATTTTAAACTAGTGCAGTATGAGCTGCTACAGAGAGCCAGAGGAGGGAGAGTAGGACAGAACTAACATGAAAGAATTTGGGGAGATTTGAGACAAGACAGGCTGCAGTCGGTTGGCTGAGTCGTGGGGAGTCTAGGAAGTGTTTCAGGAGGCAGACTACAAGGACTCGGAGCGCTGCAGAATGCTTGCAGAGGATACATCTGGTTTGATAGATGTTGTGGAGTGTAAACCTGCAGGATCAGGTTGTAGATGTAGTAACATGACTTTTATTAGGCTCTAATTAGCCTTTTATATCTACAGATGCTGTGGGTCACCTGCCATGGAGTTTCTTCTTTGGGGTTCAGCAAGGAAGCAAGGGAGTTGCAATCCGCAACCACACCAAAAAACAAATATTATCTGAAAGCATACAAACCACAGCAATTTACAGATCATTAATTTGGTTTAGCTTTACAGTCATAGGTTCACAGTTAAATGTAATCTGCTTCTCCAACTTTGTGTCTTTGGACTGAAGTTGCTGTTTTGATTGTGCAGTCATTGGTGGATAAGCATTGCACCAGGGTTTTTGGTCAAAATACAGTAATTATTTGTTAATTCAGTCTATCCGGTGCTTCATTTGCAAGTCTGCTGCCTCAGCTGTTAAACTGACCTCTTTCATTAGCATTTAATAGGGTTGAACCACACAGTTGCTGCATTGTACTGGAGGGAGAAGCACTGTTGGGTCTAAAATTATAATTTTTGCAACAGTGAATCAAGATGGGGCGGGATAATTTTGGAGTAAGTGATCTTTAACAGGTCACTTTTATGCATAAAAGTAAGTTAATTGAAAGGATTAAGAGCACATGGTGCTGTCTCAATCTCACCTCTGGATGTCTGGTTTAATGTTGGTGGGATCAAGCCATTTCAGAGAGTGATGCCTTGTCAGTTTGTGTAGCTGATTGTGCCCACTAGGGCTTGTGTACAAGCTTGGTGAGGTGTATACTGCATGTATCTATTCTACACATTGCATTATCAATTATCTTATCCATTGTGTCACAATATCCATTCTGAGTGCCAGTTAGCTGTTAAAAAAGGCTGGCAATATTTTGTATTTTTGTTATGCTTAACAAATCCCATGAAAATGTACTAATCCATCTCTCAACACTGTCCCACTTTTCCCAGCCCATTCATTTCTACTGGAAACAATGTATGTCATTAAGATATCTTTAGAAACAGTTCATGCTACATGCCTTCATTTTAAATCAAAATAATTCCTTAAAGAACTAGGAAGTGTAGTTGCTAGCAGCGTAACTAAAACACGAGTAAACAGTACCAGTGCCAGGGATTATTTTCAGCTGTGAATTTGGTGCTCTATTGTGTATATACAGCAGCAGGATGGTGTATATGGGACTGGCACAAAATAATCTATAAAGCCCATGCATATTATAATAAAGGAGAATGTCTCCCAGTGCATCAGTGATGTGTTTCAACTGTGATGATGGATCTCTATATTAGGCTTTGGCTACACAGGCAATGCCTGGGTCAATTCATTGATTTAATTCTTTTCATGAGATTTATTGACACCATTTTTATTCTTTAATATTGGTTCACCTTTCTTAAATTAGTAGTTTTAAGGTTTTAAACTTTAATGGTTTACATTCTGCACAGCCTTGCAACAACACAGAGCTAAAACTGTATACAAGTCTCTACAATTCCTTCCTCATATCACCAAAGTCCTGCAATAATACGAATCTCGATCTCACACTTGAGGTATGAGGTACACTGCTGGGACAATCCGGAGCAATGATTGCCTTCTTGTCTGTAGATTGTTCGGTAGATTGATAGAACAAGTGAGCATTTTACACCATAGTGTGCTATTCCCTACACTTTATCACTTTTTATTTCCCTGCATTAACATCTGATATATAATCTAATGTCCATTTTTATTCTATTTCATTGAAAGTTATTTGCTCTGTTAGAGCTTTTATTCCCCTTAATGTCTTTAGTTAAAAACACAAACACACACACACACACACACACACACACACACACACAGTCTTCATCGCTGTCTCTTCCCTAACATGCACACAATCTTTCACGCCCACACACATCCTCAACTATGCACGTACATTAAACCAACTCAACTGAGCTGGTAGCATGCTATTTCAGCAGCCTACTGTTTTGTCAACGTGAGAACCTAAAATAGAGATACCCTGCTTTCCATGGAGATACACCCATGGACACATTAGCCCACGCACGCACCGTCACCAACATGGGGATGCTCACACAGACCTAAACAAACTTAAAGATAAAAGGGACACAAACACTCACGCAGACCTCTCAGATTTGAGTGGATACATATAGACACACATTTGTGCACACACAGAGCTGTAGTGTATATAGTGGGATTTACTCATATATTGGAGCAGAATTACAAACACACAACACAAACACAAAGCTCTGAGCTTGAATGACATAAACATATATTGAATGTTTGGCTGATAAAGCTCAAGATAACAGTGGAAAATAGACCAGCTCCCCAGACATACAAATACACACACACACACACACACACACACACACACACACACACACACACACACACATACACACACACACACATACACACACACATAAGTAGAGTGGATAATGACACGTGGGGCACTTATTTCAGGGAAGCAAAGGTGGGTACAAGATATGAGTAACAAATGTAGTAAGCAGAGCCACTCCACTGACAACTTCACCAGAATGCTCTGCAATTTATATTTCCATGTTAGTGGCCTCCCTTTGAGCTGTGCTCCCAGCCTGTGGATCATTAAAAACACTTTCACTCATAACCCAGAATAATGAAGACACATTAAGTGTCTCAGGTCGATGCTTAATTTTTTGCCTTTCACACACGCTTGATTTGTTACCACAGTTTTATACACTCCAAACAAAAGCACTTTACCATACCTAATATAATTATATATCTGCTGAACAGAGGTATCAACTTTCAGTTCATTAAAATGAGTTGCTGCTTCTTCTTCTGTGTTCTTCCTATAATTCTTTTAAAATCAATCACAACTTGTTTAAGTGAGAATACAATCAGACTGTTTGGGCAAGGTAAATGTGAAACAGTCACGTTGCACCTCTCCATGGACTGCATCTTCACAACTAGAAACAAGGAGTGAGTTTGGTGAGGTGTGGCTGTTTGCTGAAAAGTTGCAGTGATTGGAAAATTGCAAGGGCATGCAGAACAAGGGATTGGTCGAATTTGGGTTAATTGTTTTAATTGTTTCCCATCTACAGAGCCAGGGCTGTGTACAACCACCTGATTTTTTTCAGCGCACACAGAGCGAATCCAAGTCTAATGGATTGTGAGGAGGTATTCAATGAATTTGAAAAAACTGCACTGCATAACCACATTACCTAGAATCGCTTCCCCCACCTTTAATTCCACAGTTAGCCTATTATATAACACATGTTCAGTCGGACAGCGTAATTTTTGAAAACTTTCCCAATCTGTGACAAAACAGTGAGCCACTATACAGAATGTAGGAACCAGAAAATAAACCTGAAATATGAAATCAAAATCAGATGTAGGAGTTATTGGCCCTCTATGTACTAACAGACTTAGAATTTTTTGTTTCTACAATATATAGTTTAGCTTTAGAGTATTCTTGGTAGAAAGATATTATGTGATGATCGTTTTGTGCTGATGCTATGGTTCTGTTAGCCACTAGTTGCACTTTTTCAATGAGCAGGGGAAGTACATTTATGGCCCGTTGTCCCTTGGGCCTCCCACACGCCAGCATAGATGAGTAAAGCCCTGTAGGAAGGGTTTCAAGGGTTGATGCTGGCATCATTTCAGTGGGGAGAGAGGATGGAGATGTGAGGCTGGTGCTGGTACAAAGTCTTGAGGCTGAGGGTGGATAGCGGTAAACAAAGCCCTAGGTAGTTTTCTGAAACACCAGCTGTGCAGACTGACTCTCATGCAAACTGCAAGTGATAGGCAAGGACTTGCCCTAACAAATAAAATTTAAAGTCCCGGCTCTATTCTGTGGGTTTTGGTTTCAGAAGTGCCATGCTTTTCCTGTAATGGCCACAAGGATTTGGTTGGAAAAACCTCCATTGTATGTGTATCAATGTAAACTGGAAAACCCCATACTTCCCCCTTGTTGTTTGTATTATGCATTAAGTATTTTTCGAAAAAGGAAAATATATTGTCTATCAGATTCAACAGTGGTTGTTGTTGCTGCTGGCTTGTCTTAGTTGAACTCACTCACGCACTTTCACCAGTAATTCTGTTCAAGCTTGACACTTCTTACTCTTTTAATAAAATATATGCCTTGGGTGCCGTGTAAAACTGAAGAAACTGTAAGTGACATGGTTCTATGCTTTGTTATGCCAGGTTCAGACTACACAATATCAACCCAATAATAGTCTGACCCGACAGACGTAGAGCACTGTGAATGAAAATGGGCTTCGGACATTTGAGTGTATCATAGCAGGAAGACAACTGCTTCTTCTGGGACTCTTCATTACTTCTCGGCATAAAGACTAGCGTATTTTTTTGTTTTTCTTCCATGACAAATTCCCCAATGTGTTTCAAATGTTGACTAATAGGAGAACAGGGCACTCTACTGTGCATAAGTGTAAACATGCCGGAACAAAAAGAAAATTATGCTGCGATTTGGAACTGTGAAACAGAGGAAAGGTCACTAGGTCATTTTATCTTGCGTTTTAAAGATTTCATCAACAACACAAGACAGCCAGTTTGTTTACATTATTGCACCCAGAGGTCATCGCCTCCTTCCCACTGACGTCATGCACATTGTGAAGGACTGCAAGCTATGATTGGTGAGGGACCAAGGAGTAGTCTGTCTGTCGGTCAAAAATCTATGACTATATATAAGACCACCCATGATGAATTTGAAGAAACATCACAGAAGTCTCTCAATATGATACAAGCTTATACTCATTTACTGCTTGTCAGTATTATAATAGTAGCTAGCTACTCTATTTTGCATGCATTTGTGCTTTTGTTGTATACAGTACGCCGCCTCTTTTGTCAGTATCCTCTGCAATATACGGATATAGCGGCTGAGGTTATTTAGGTACAAGTGTGTCTTGTTGACAAGCTGAGCTACTCCAAGCTCCCAACACTCACTTCATGCCCCATATTCCACAGTTTCCTGCTGTGTAGCAGAAGTAGTAAAGGGTCTGGCTTCTCCTGATGAATTTATTCATTTATGATTGGGGGGGGGGACTTCTACATAAGTCAATATTCTCCAGGGATCTCTTTGGTTAGGTGAAGTCACTCATTGAGCCGTGGATGTGTCTGGAACAAAGAGATGCTAAAAAATACAATAAGTATGCCTCAACGAACAAAGTGATCACTGGCAGAGCAAATGTGTTCATTTATTTTCAAGAGCGTGTTGAGTAGTTAAGATCACAGTGCTGAGACACTTTGAGCACTTGCACTTTGATGACGTCACATGATGAGAATTGTGATTATTTTCCAGTCTTCTCTTTCAACCCAAATGTTCTAATTGAGTAGCAATGAAATAATTCTTGTTGATGACGTTTATGCTTTTGTGTTACAGTACAGTCTAGGTTGGGACTTTTCAGGGTTGAAAACTACATTTGCAAGTGCTGTACTTAAATACAAATTTTATGTATTTTTACTACACTTGTGTCTTTTATTTTCATGCCACGCTATAGTTCTACCTCCACTACATTTCAGCAGGAAATATTGTACATTTATCTCTTATACTTCACTCTGCTGTTTATCTGACAGCTTAAGTTACCACATTTTTTTTTTTTTTTGCATACAAAAGTTCATAAATATTATGTTTTGTATATACAAGTACAGCTGTAAAAGATTAGTTGTTAAAAATAATTGGCAAATATTTTGATTCTTATTTAAATAATTATTCATGTAAAAACATTTAATGGTATCAGCAAATGTGGGGATTTGCTGTTGTTTTATTAATTTGAATTTATTTTTAACACTTGTTAGATTTGTACTGTTGTTTGGACAAAACAGGCATTAAGGTGTCACTTTGGGTTGACAAAGTTTTGATAGCATTTCTCACAAAAAAAGGAAGTCAGCAAACGGAACTGTGTCTGTGAGCAATCTGAGTTACGTCACATAGATTTTCATCAACATCAATGGGGGTTGTTAACAATGAAATCCCCAACTCCCATACCCCCCACTACTTTACAATGTCCTCAGACTACATGTTATTGTTTTGATGAAGAAAGTACATACTGTACGTTTAAGTACATTCTCCTGATTATACTATTACTTTTACTTTCAGTGCAGGTGTATTTCCACAGTGTGGTATTAGTACTTATACTTACTATTATCTGAATACTTCCTCCATCACTGGGACTTTCAGAGCACAGTCAGAACTCAATGTAATTATAACAGGAAGTATGAAATGGTTACATCTATAATTTTCTGAAGAAAAGATCCAAAGCAGTGGGAGAT